AACTTTTTCCTTTCATCTCATGTCATCTTGATGAGTTGCTTGGATGTTTATTCATCTTTTTAAAAAAAAACATAAGCCCACACCAATTCCTTGGTTCTTCGACATTTCTTAGAAAAAATTCAGTAACTACAAATCAAATCAATGTGTAGTACCTTTCCTTGGTGCTGAACTCCTGGTTATTCTAAATGAAGTTCCTAATTTTTTAATGACAAGAACCAGGAAACTGTATTTATGTGGCCTATTGAAAACTTGTAAAATTTGTGCAACGTGTCATTCCCTGGTCCAGCTGCTATGTTGGGTGGGATCCTGGCAGCCAATAGTATTGTAGTGTTCTGTAATCATACATGTACAAGGATCTTTCATCGTTACCAGGAATTTTTACAGAATATTTATTTTATGTCTAGCTGTACGCCATGTTGGTTCTGAAAATGAAAGAATATTGACAGTCTGCTAAGGTAGCTGTTTGGCACAAAATTTTCATCAGAGAGATTGCTAAATATGCTGTAATTTCTCCCATCCAAGTTTCTTCCCAGCCCTCTGTTTTCACGTTTTGCTGATGCCGAAATTTACTTCAGAATGTCAGAAAACCAAGGATATACAAATTGGTGTAACCTTCAGCTAAAAGCCATTTCTTCATAATAAGGCCACACCAATTTAATTTCTTGGTTAACGGATTTTTCTAGAAAAATAATGGAGCGGGCGGGCGAAAAAAAAATAAAAATAAAAACATGCCTAGGCATCCTATTATGGCCCAAAATGGTACGATATGAGCCATGAAGTCAACACACCAGGCTGGTTCAAAATTAAACCAATGAATTTTTAACTTTTAATGATACCATTGCATGGAAAGATGGAATAACTGTACCAACTATGATGAAAAGGACTGCTTTCAACTGTTCAGGGCAAAATATGAGCATTTTGCAGTTGATTCTGAATTTTTATTTTTATTTGCAAATCATAAAAAAATGAAGCGGGCGAATCCGTTAACCAAGAAATTAAATTGGTGTGGCCTAAAGTCTGGTTTGTTTCATTCTAACTACTAGTATATACTAGTGCAATCAAATATGTTGGAGGACACAATGTCATACTAGAAGTTAATTTTATTGGTAACATTTCTTGACAATGTCGGACATCTGAAACCCTTCAAAATATTACCCAATGCAAAATTTCCTTATAACATAAAAATATTTGGAAACAATATCCTTCATACATCTCAAGAGTCTTTTTCCTCCACTGTACATTACAACCAAATCATGTATTCAATACAGTCTTTTCGCTGATCATGCTAGCACCCCCTTTCAACTTAGGAGGCAGTGATCAACAAAAAAGTAACAATATTCCTCAATGGGGGCCCGCAAACCCTTTTCCATAGAGCGTTATCGGCCATTTTAATTCTACGTAGAGCGTAGACAGACCACTCTAATTCAACGTAGAGCGTAATTGGCGCATTTTACATTTGGCGCAGTTGTCGGGGACCCCCCCCCCCTTGCAGGCCCCCCTCAATTAATTTCACAGATAAAGAATTATAGAATCTTAATAAAATCTTAAACTCTTTTGTGCTCTGTAGTATTTGAAAGCATACTTTAATATTGTGCATTAGGCCACACCAATTTAATTTGTTGGTTCTCGGATTTTTTCAGAAAAAATATGAAGCGACAGGGCAAAAAAAATAAAAATAAAAACAGGTCTAGGCATCCTATTATAGGCTTAAATGCTACGAAATGAGCCATGAAGTCAACACAAAAGGCTGGGTTAAAATATAAACATTGAATTTTGAACTTTTAATCAAACCACTGCAATGATAGATGGGAAAACTGTAACAACTAGGAAGAAAAGGACTATCCTCAACTGCTGGGGGCAAAAGATGAGCATTTTTCAGTTGATTCAGAACCAGAATCATATATTTTTTTTTTTGCAAATCAGAAAAAAACGAAGAGGCGAATCCGAGAACCAACAAATTAAATTGGTGTGGCCTTATATTGTATTTTATAAAGTGAAGGGAGACATCCAAGTTTTGTCTCTCAACAATCATTGTCTAGGCAAAAGGGGCATAATGCCGCTGAAGGAAACATTTCTGCAAACTCAACATAATTTCTAGTTTTGCTTCTGTGGTATGATAATATTATCATTATTTTAATCATAATGATTTACTTGGTACCTGTCTCGTGACAATATACATGATATGACATGATGCTAATATTACTAAAAGTTATCATTTTGTGATGCTCAAAAGAATTATCTCTTCAACTTGTATTCTGTTGTGAGGCATATAAGTTTTATGGGTTATTGTTGACAAGGCACGCTGGAGTTGACGTATTTGTTGGGTTATTGTTGACAAGGCACGCTGGAGTTGACGTATTTGTTGGGTTATTGTTGAGAAGGCACGCTGGAGTTGACGTATTTGTTGGGTTATTGTTGAGAAGGCACGCTGGAGTTGACGTATTTGTTGGGTTATTGTTGAGAAGGCACGCTGGAGTTGACGTATTTGTTGGATCTCGGAGGCAGATCTGGTATCTCCTCCCCTGACTGTATCTGCAGACCTTGTGCCTGTGAGGAGGCACCGGTGGAGTTGATGTGCCTTTTGGATCGCGGTGTTGGATCCTGGATCTCGTGTACCGGCGGGATTTCTGAGCTCTGTTTTGACGAGGCACCGTAAGGGATCGTCCTGTTGGATCGTGGAGGTAGATCTTGGATCTTCCCCATCTGAGTTATGTCGGAGCTTTGTGGACAGGCTGAGGCATTGTAGTTGCTGTGCCTGTTGGTGTTAGGTGGTGGGGAAGCTGGTATATTTCCTGCCTCCATGCCTTGTGACTGTGTTGAGGGGTTGTAGTTGATATGCCTGTGAGTTCGTGGAGGTAAAGCTGGTATATCTCCTGTGTGAGACATCTCCATGCCTTGTGGTTGTGATGAGGGGTTGTTGATGGTTTGCCTGTTGGGTAGGGGAGGGGGGTCCTGGATTGATCTTAGTCCTTTTGTCTCTGTTGGGGTTATGTTATACATGGGGTTTGCCATGTCCACAGTTGTGGCATATGGACACACGTCTAGATCTGTGTTGTTTACATCCGGGATCTTTTCGTCAGCAGGCTGTGGAGTTGCTGGGTTTCCGATTTCTTGTTGCTGGCTGTTTTGCAATGGCGTGTCTCCGCTAGCATTCGCAGCATTGCCTGGTACACGCTGACGTTCTTGTCGCCTCCTGTAGCCCTTGTGACAAGCAGCCATAGCCCCGCCCAGAAGAAACAGTGCCAGACAAGCACCGATGATGTAGCTCAGCGTAGCGATGCCGTCTTGCTGCTTCCCTGGGATCTTCTCCAAGGTGTTGAGGAAGATGATCTTCTCTGTAAAAACTGCTTCCTGCCCTCTGGAAGGTGTTGTAGTGTTGGTGGCTGTGTGGTAGGGTAGATCGTCAGTCCCTGGTGCGGTACCATTTTGCAGAGAGTTATTTGTAGTAAAGTTATTCCCTTTGATGATTGTTGAGTTCCTTGTACTGAGTGTTGTCAGGTTGACAGCTGACTTGAAAACATTGTGCCGTACGTTGGCAGCTCCTGGAGTGGTGGAATCCTGTTGGGGGTCTTTATTGTTGATTTTGGTACTCACTTCTCTTATCCTTCCCTTCATTATTAATTGGACAGGAGATGCTTTAGATGATGAAGCACCAGAAGTGATCTGACTGTCAGCTTTTGTCGACTCCATGTTGGTTCCATCCTTGCAGTTGATGTTTTGAGTCTGACCTCCGGAGGATCCACTTGCCTTGCTCAGTGGTAGATTTGCAGAGACTATGTCTGTTGCAGACTTCACAACACACTGGAAGCTGCCCTCTCCCCAGCGTTCACAGTGTAAACCTTGTGGACTCATGTAGAGGGTGTTAAGGTAGACCTGCCGACATAGGGTACATGTAGGCCTGAAGAATTTGCTGAGAGTGAACATGTGGTTCCTTGTCCAGGAGACTTTCCAGTAGGAAGCTCATGGTCTAAGTTTGCTGTAACATTGCCACATGGGACACCAAGGCACTCTTTCTCTCTTATATCCCTCCCATCTGGATCAAACCACTGGATCTCTGCTGGTTGTTGTTCCCAGAAAACTTCACACACGAGAGTGGCTCCATTGTCCTGGTGTGATACCTTGACTGTAGGTGACGGACAAAGCATTTCCCTCATCACATTTGCAATCTTTCTACCCAGAAGGCTGGGTGGATAGCTGCACTGTAAGCTCTGGTAGTCTTGTACTACCCCAGGCCCTTTAGATTTCAAACTGTCTAGAGCGCAAGTGCATCGGAAAGGATTGTTCTCTATGTAGACAAACTTTCCGATCATGGTACAGAGTGACTCGGCAGAGATTGTCTGTACCAAATTGTTTTGGAGGTAGACATGCGTCCCCCGTGGCATCCCTTGGAGCCATGCAACGTCCAGATGTGCTAGCTTGTTATGGTCCAGATATATCTCTGCAAGCCTGGTCAGATTATTAAAAGACTTTCCGGCAATGTGTGAGATGTTGTTGTAGCTCAGTTTTAAATACTTGAGTCCTGTCAGGCTGTCAAAGTGCCACTCCTTCACCACAGAAAGCTGGTTATGTGCCAGCTCAAGGTAGAAAAGGTTTTTCAGTGGCTGCAGGGCGTCCTTCTTGATTTCATTCCAAGACAGGTGGAGCCTCCGCAGCTTCAAAGCATAGACAAACCAGTTCCCGACAGTGTGGATGCAGTTTCTGTTCATCGACAGTTTTTTAAGATTGTTCAAAAAATGTCCCTCAAACACTCCGCTTACGACTGTCCGAATGTTTCCAGGTCCCAGGACTAGCGTGTGAAGCCTTTTGAGACGCCGGGATAGCGTTTCCAGTGTACCGTTCTTGCTGTTGTGGCCTGAAACTTGCAGCATGAGGATTTCTTTAGGAAGACACCAAAGTGCTATATTTAGTGGATTCCCCCTCCCCTGTTGGGTGACGTTGCAGATTGCACAGGGCGCCCTGCGAGCTTCTTTGGTAGCTGCGATGAGTCCAGGCCCCATTGTCTCTGGTATCTCGCATTGTCCGCTGTGTTTTATCTCACAGATATCACGACAAGGCAGACCAGACTGAAGTGCAAAACACAGGAGGGCAAAAGCGATGTCTCTGCAAGCCATCTTAGTCTGTATGGTCGTTCAATGTCTTTGTGTGCTTTTGTAAAGCCAACAGTGTCCACATCCAGTATTTGAATTTTGTGGAATACTGTAAATGAAATACAGACCGGCTTAGAACACCTATCATAGCCTTTTTGAATGCTGTCACATCTTATATAAATGTAGGTACATTGCAATGAATATTGATATATTAAGAAATGAATATGAGACTTACTGTTAATAAAGCCTTGAAAACCACTCACTCAGGTAGCTTAAATAACTGGTGGAACTAGACGTACATTCTATCTCATTACAAATAACTGACAAATTCTAAAGTCAGGAGTAAAATATCCAGTCAGCTCTGTGGTGGTTTGGCTGCTAGACTGATTAATAAAAATACATGTACCGATGGTGTTGTTGTTATAGTTACGGGTACTCACCGCCACCCTGCTTTCGGTGGCAGACAGGGAGTGGCGCCCCTGCCCATTGAGGAGCTGCAGACCACAACATACACACTGCCCTCTGCAGGCCACAACATACACACTCAAAACTTGTACGAGCGACCACCCCATTCAATACCCCCACCGTGCTGGAGCCCTCAATCTATTGAGGTTTGCATGGAATAGGAAGAAGAAGTCACAATCGCATACGATTGTTGTGGCCTTGTAAGGCCATGCCTACATGTATGATGCAACTGACTGAAAGACTGCCAATTTGTTAGGGTTTTTCTGACATTTCTGCCAAAGATTTAGCACCAATTCAAGGTAAAACAGAAGCTTCTGGTAGGAAAACTGAAATCTGTTTCTTTAATTATATTTACCTTTCATCCATGGTATAACAGACTTTCCCCTCAGACTCTTGTTTTATGTTAATGTTTTTTTTAAATCTGAGAAACAACAAATTTACTTTGTATGGCCTGTTATATAAGGAGTAACCTTTGGTAGTCTGTGTTGGTATGGCAGCAGGAACATTACATGTACCAGTACCAATAGTGCGCATGTCCTGAAGTATTTGAAACCATGCACGCTTGGATAATCTCCATGAATGGTTTTGAAAAATTATTTTTTATGTTGCAGACAGCATATTGCAAATGAATAGTAATTCGGTTCATATTTGAATAGTAATGCTGAACTGAAAAACTTAAGGACACAGAAGACTCCTGTTTTATGCAATACGAGCGATCGCTGTTTTTGTTTACATGATACACATGCAAATTATTTGAAGACATATGCAAACTATCAGTGGGCAAATCAACCAACCATCACCCGCTTTTTGCCTACCATGACGTCATGGCAATCGCTCATATACATGTCATCATCATCATAACATTTATGTGATTGATTGGTTTATTGATTGATTGATGTATCTTGTCTTATCAGAAGAATATGAATGTTGTTGATGTAGTATGTTCTGAATTTGTATTTCTTAACACCCTAGGTATGGGAAGCTGATACTGTATGCCTGTCCACACTCCTGGAGGACCTGTCTGTGTTCCTGTCCATAATTCCAGGAAGTTTTGCCTATCTACAAGACAAGAGAACATCGGAATTGACTGTGAGTTGGCTTTTATTTATAGAACTCTTCCCAAAATGGGGTCTGCATGCCACAGTGGGTAATCAGCCGTTTTAGTTTTGTGTCGTGTAAAGTCGTGTCGTTCTGATTTGTTTTCGTAACCTGCTAAGCCTGCTTGAATAGCATGGTACGGGTTCATTGCTTTGTAGAATTTTGCATATTCTAAAGTATTATGAGATGCTCCCCACATTTATTCATTGTCTTTCCACCATAAGCTCACACCAATTTATTTATTTGGTTTTCTGGCATTTCTAAGCAAAAATTCAGTAACTTACAAATCATATCACTGTGTTGTACCTGTCCTTGGTGCTGAATTCCTGGTTATACAAAGGGATTTCCTCATTTGTTTTTTTAAGTAAAAAACAAGGAAATCAAGATTGTGCAGCCCATCTAATTAAAAGTTTGTAAAATTTGTGTAACGTGTCATTCCATGGTCCAGCTGCTATGTTGGGGGCTGGGATCCTGACATCCAATAGGATTATGGTGTTTTGAAATCATACAAGGTACTAGAGGCAGTGGTAGAAAT